TGCACCTTCCGAATATTGCCGCGCAAGCCGCCACGGGGACCAAAGACCTCATCACGCTATAGTCTGTCTGCCTGGAGGTGCATAGGAAGCCTGAATCCAGGGACTTTCAAGCTCCTGCGTATCCTGCTCTTGCATCCCTTTTCACCAACACCTGAAGCCCCTGAACCAGAAGTCTCACTCACCGACATCAACTTGGCCCCCTCAATTGCGACAGCATGTCTTGAGGTACCATGAACAAGCAGGCCATGAAGGACTATCGAGCGGCGTTAGTGACAGCGCGTGTCAACGGCTTCGGCATCCGGAACTTTTTGCAGCTGCAGGACATCTACAGGGTGGCGGTGCTGCAATTGGAAATCCCAAGCCCAAATCATAATGCAAAGAGGTCGCACACCTACTTGGGGCATGGCTCACATGGGTTTGCAAAGCCCTGCGCAGTCACACAACACTGTTGCTCAGCAGCGTTCTTCACGTTGCATCTGCAAAAGTTTCGAGCTTCCGGCATGATGGTTTCGGTTCAGGAGCTAAGAGAGATGTTGCAGGAATCTAGCGTGAAGAGTTGATTCGACACCTGTGTAAACACCAGCAACAATTGCAGATGCTCGTCCCGTGAGCATGGTTCCAACTCTTTGAAAAAGCGGGACTTGACCCTGATCTACGTCAGATACGCTCCTATTCAAAAAAGCTGGGATGTGCAAGCATCCCATGTCCATACTGAAAGCTCTGCTTTCAGAGGTATGTCAAGCAGGATGTGTCCTTTTCACATGATATTTCCCAAGCCAAAGCTCAGATCACCCACGTCCTGAGCGCGTGCTTCAGGGACAAGTTGTCACATCCGTCGCTGCCTGCCAGGCCATTGGAATGGATTTCCTTGGGCCGCACAGCCTTTACATGAGAAACTATGGCGGCCTTCGACGACTGACTCTGCAGGAATGGGACACCATGACTGGCATCCCGGCTGAGTTTGGACTGACGTTGGTTCGGGTTTGAAGCTGGACCTGGTATGGGAGGGCTGGCAATGCATGATTTGTCGATGTGAACCAGACACTGAAGCAAGCTAACCTCAAGCCGATGCCCCTTTTCCTGTCGGTTCCTTCGGGAAAAACTGCTCCACTTGTGGTCAAGGTTGCGTGAAGGACCCGTATGCGGCGTGTCGAACTCCCACAAGCCACGACAAATTGTCCTGATCAGATGGCCCGCTGGGTTTCAAGATTTGGCGTTGGCTGCTGCTCGCAAAGCCGGAGGCTTTGGTGAGGGCATGCGCAAGCTGATTGACATAGTTGAAGCTGCTTTGAGGGCTTTGACAGGTGTGCATTGTCATGCCTAATGCTTTTTGAAGCAGCTCCAGATGTTTTTTCAGACTTGCACGAGGGAATGCAACATGCTTTGGGATCTTTGTTGGACTCACTCACATGAGACGGGATCCTGGCTGGGGCTTGTCACAAGGCCAATGCTTTGCAAATGGAATTTTGGGCATCCGTACAGTTCCAGAAGAGTTTCAACCCCAAATGTTTTCCCAGCCCATGGCAGAAGACCGCGCGCCGTATGGCCGCCAGGAACAAATGCAAGCATTGTCTTAACTGACAGACAGAAGAGTTCTGCCTCCATGATCCAGTTGACAGATCTTGACGGACTCCTTGGAGCAGCTGCTGGATGTCTTCATTGCGACCTTCAGAGATCATGGCGGGCCGCAGCTTGACAGGGAGGCAGAGCGTTAGCCTGCCTCAATCTCTGTGATTCTTATCAGTTTGCCTGTAGTCTACAGCCAGGGATGTTCAAGGCAGAGAGACTCGGAGCTTAGGGCTGACTGCTTTGGTGCCTGTGTGCACGACTCACTTAAATTGTTTGCAGATTCGCCGTGTGCGTTTCACGCACGTGCACTCTGACCACAAACAGATCTCGAGCTTTTTATGGCCTCTGAAGAGAGTGGCATCAAAGCGGCTGCAGGAACTCCTTTGGCATGTTCTCCTCGCGGCGGCCTTGCAGTCCGTCGAACTGCTTGAAGCCGTACCGCTTCTGCTGGAGCCCTGTTGCACCTGCCGCATTGCCATGAAGTAGACGGAGAGGGACTCAACAGCCTAGGAACTCTCAGGCACCACCAGGAACTAGAAGGGAGCCAGGCAGGAAAATGCATTCTATCCTTAATTGAAGGCCTTCCTCCACGGCTACATTTTGCAACAAACATGCAAGTAAGACAAGCCCTGTTCCCATCGCATACTTCCAGCGCAAGCCTCCACTGCAGGAGAAGATTCCACGGGAGGGCTGGCAGCAAATCAAGTCGCTGGCAGATCCAAGGCCTCATCGGGTGAAGAAGCATTCAACTGCAACAAACTCCATGGCAAGCCTTGAGCCTGAGCAGAAGCTGTGAAACATTGTCATGGCCCAGGCTCCATGAAGGGGGAGCAGGGGATGTTTGGCTGGCGGCCAAGGCTTTTGCAGCCTACTGCAGTTCAGAAGTGTTTTGGTCCTTTGTTTAATTGGTATATCAATCAAATATGTTCGCAACTGGCTGGCCTTCGGCTTAGATACTCGGGGTGCTATGTCAGGTACATGTGGCAATAGTCACACAACGCTATGGACTGGTCGCCAAGCTGGAGTTGCGTGCTGCATCTCGTCATGCAGAGTTGAGATGAACTGCGTGAACATGTTTGCCAATAAAATGTGTATGTTTGTTCGAGCGTGTTTTTGTCAAGACTCTAGACTCTCGACCTAAGCCTGGTGCAAACATGGTCCACTGGACCCTGTAGCAGATTTCGCTATGGTTGTGAGCTTGGGGCACATGCCGCTGAGTCTGTTGAGCAGCGATGCTTTCAGATCTCCATTCATCCTAAAGCCCAAGCCAACGTACCAAGATACGGACCCTTTCCCCAAACAACACGCCAAGCCCGAAATTTTCGCGGCGAACATGCTGATCCAGAACGGCCGGGGAGCTGGCAACAAGCATCTGCATCTTGGCTGCGGACCTGGATTACCACTATGAAAGCCACTGCTGCCATAGTCATTTAACGGATGATCTTACTCTCAGATTGTCTACACGGGCCCTGAAAATCGCAGAGGTGTTCTTGCGGACATGCTATATAGGTTTCCGTCTTCGGCCTATTCTGCCATTGAACTTTCATTCGAGAAAGGGCGCAGAATTCGGGGCGTTCGGTACTGGGGGGAGGGGATGAAGGGTTGTGGGAGAGTTCAAACTCACGGACAGGGACTCTGCAGTCTACAACTTCAGATCCCAAATTTTGCAAAGCTGCACTTTGCTCTTTGGGGGTCAAGAGCTTCCTTGCTCGCCTGTAATCTGGTACCAACACGAAGAAGTCCTAGTGAGGCCAGTAGTTGGCAAAGCCTGAATGAATATGCTTCAGCATGTCCTCCTTGTCACGGCCACAGCAGACGTCGGAGATATGTCTGGATCTCGCCACGCCGCCACTTCTGTCAACTCTTCAGACGCCCCAATCTTGCTGGATCCAAAATTCCTGCAGCAACTTTGGTCATGCTGCATGCCACAGGACGCCCATTTTCATCAGAGCTGGCGGTGTTCACGAGGACCTTGAGCGCAGATATTTTTTGGAGCACATTTGGGATCCGAACATTCAGGCTCACTTTATCCCCATTGGGATTCTCAAGCACAATGGCGGGGTGGACTAGACTTAGAGGTCTGCAGATGGAAGACAGAGCTTGGGGGTTCAGGGCCTGAGTCCAACATCTCCATCAAGAGTGAGCTTGAGTTGAGGCCCTTCATCAGCAAATGCAGGAAGGTGGATTTTTACCAGAATCAGAATATGCAAGTTAGAAACTTTTCACATTGGAGGAAAAGGTTGAGTTCTGAGCCAATCAGGTCGGGTTCGCCTTTCCACGATGGCGCCTGGGGACGTTGTGCAACGTACTGTTCTGCTTGTCCTCATTGTTCTGTGTACGATCATTCTTGTAGGCTTCTTTTTGCTTGTTGAACAGAACATGCCGCTGCCAAAGTTTCTGCGCTGCGCAGGCTCGCGCCGCAGCCTCGACGACTTCAGAGCTCCTGGCACTTCTGCCTCCCGGAACACCGGGCTGTGCAGTCTTGGTGTCTCGGCCCAATTGCAGAGGAGTTGACGGATAAACGCAAACAACGTGTCGGCACAATCCTGCTTGTCTCCATGCCACAAATTTGCATGCGGGAATTAATCGGTTTGAGATGTTACCTTTCAGCCAAGTCCATGAGTGTTGTGCGGAGTTCACGACATGTTGGTCACTACCCTGAAAATCGCAGCTTCCCGACAACATAGCAAAATCCAGCCAGCAGCTAAGACCTTCGAGGAGCAGGACGGGGATTTTGGGATGTGAGGAGAGTGGTGTCCTGGAAACAGCTGTGTACTGGGCAGAGGTTGCGCCAGAGGTGATGTAATTAATGCAGGGAGCCCAACAGTAGATTAAACTGCGGTGTCAGCATCAAAGCGTTTCTGGCCTATAGAGCATCTTCTTATGCTTTTGACCTCTACTGGACATAAGTGCTGGCTTGCGAGACGCGCACAGAACGCTCACAGCCATCAGGTCAGGATCCCAGGCATACGGCGCAAGAACGCATCAAGCTTGATCTAGACACTGCATTTCCTGCAGGACATGGTGAAGACCGGAGCTGGGCAAGGCACCTCTCACAGGATTGCTTTTGGGAATGGATGTCCATTCTTTTGGCTTCGGGCTTTGTGTGCCATACCAGGGCCTCATCCGCCAGCATCCACCACCCTGTTTCTGGTTTTTGTAGTCCACATATTCCCTTTGTGTACGCAGCTTGGTTGAACTTATCAGCCACGCTTAAGGAAGTGTGTCCTGATGGTCGTCTCAACCACTGATGCGTTCATGCTAATGGCATTCTCCTCGTGTCAGTTAGCTTTTTGTCGTCCAGCTGGGCACACATGATGTCCAACAAGTTTAGGGATTCCTGTGCACAGACTCCGGCCGCCAAAATCCCCATCAAGCACCTCCTCTCAGGCTGGGCACAGCTGGCCATGCCGTTCACTGGCTTCGTGGACATGGCGGCCCTGCAGCTCTGAGACTTGTCCTGTTGATTGAGGATAATTCCGGGTGGTTCTGAGATCTGGGAGTCCGGGAACATGGAGATGAATGGAAGCTGGTAGCCGGCGGATCACCAGAGTGCAAAAGATGAAGATGGATGAAGTCAAGGGCAGAAAATCCCATCATTGACTTCCACCTGGAGGTACTTGGCAAGATCTTCCCACGCTCGAAGACGAGATCAAGCCAGAGTTTGAGGTTTTGAGCCTGATGTACCACACGAGGCCCCAGTTCAGAGTAAAGGTTGCCCAAGTCTGGCTGGGGAGCTATGACGGGGCTTTGCCTACTTGATTGGCAACTGCCAAGCTTCTCTTCCTCAGACATTCGTCAACGTTGCAATCGCGCACCGATAGTCTCACAAGTGCTGCAGCATGACATCGCTCTACACCTGTGTGAAGAAAAGACACCAGCCTTCCTTCTCCGCATACGCAGGCGACAGTACACGGGCAGCAATGGCCCAATGTTCATGGACGAGCTATCTGCAAAGAAGCTGCATGACGAGACTAAGCAGAAGATTAATCCGTGTCGTAAAGAATGGCCAGCAATGAGTGTGAACAGCACTTCTTCCACTCTAGGGTCCCTTCGGTTTGGTGGAAGTAGCATGTCTGCAATCAGAGACATTTTTTCTGCGTATTTCTTTCCGGCTTTGATTGCTTTGTACTGTGAGTGAATGATATTCGTCAAAGTTCTCACCACAGCTCCACGACCCCTGCAACTTTATGGCGAAACTTATGATCTCGACACAAATCCCAAAGTGAACATGCCTACCTGCATGGACCAGAACATGTTATGCTGTGTGTTCAGTGGCTTTGCAAGCTAAATGACGTGCCACACGTGGCTCAGGAGATCCAAACACGCGAGAAGGTGAGCCGCATGGTGACGCGCCTGGGCATGGGAACCTGCAGGCGCAGTCTGCACGCGCGGCATGTGACGCTCCAGGCCTTGAGGCAACCTCGGCCTCACGGTAAAGCTTGTTCTGTGCCGCTGGTATGGTGATCGTAGCCGGAGAAACTTATCGGGTTGACCTCTCGCATCCGTGTACAGGGGAAGGCTTTTTTCTCAACCAGCGCTCGCACCACCACAGCGAGATTCAGGGCTTATTGTAGTTCCACTTTCATGAAGCACCTTCGGATGGTCCATGCTGTTTCACGCCTGCTTCAGATCCGTGTCTGCTCCAAGCCCAGTGGAGTCCCGCAGACATGTCACCCATGATGCTGACAATTTTGCCAATGTCCCTATAAGCTCCCAGGTTCCAAACTAAAACTCCGAACTACCAACTTAACTGCAAAAGCCCTACAGTTTGCGCAGGAAACCCTTACCTATGTAATCCTATGTATGTAAACCCTATGTGCCTCCCTGAAATACCACACCTCACCTTACCTCTGCTTAGCAAGGAATGCAGGAATGTGTCCTTATAGTAGTCCCTAAATCATCCCCGGCATGATAGTCGTTTCCACTGTCTTTGGCATTCCTTAGTTGCTTGTCAGTGTGGTCCACGGCAGCTTCTTGGCCAGCACCCAGCGCATGCCCTGGTGGCCCAGCCAATATCAGGACCGCCTAAGGATTTTGGGTTATGGTGATTTTTTGTAGGAGTTTAGGGTTTAGTTAGGACTGGGATATTCTGGAAGGTACAGGGTGGTTTTAGTAGAGATCTTCAGGGATGACGCGCGTGGCTGGTGGTGCAGTATGTTTCAGGTCTGCGGGCACGTCTGGAGTCCAAATAAAGCCTCAAGAGATCCAGCATCATGTGAGAAATTGTCAAATCATGTCTTTAGTGGTGGCTTGTGAAATAATGGTCCATCAAGCGGTACTGTACAGAGCAAGTATATGTCATGTTTGCGAGCGCTTGTGAAGAACACGCAGGTATAGCAACCTCAACCCGGCGCACGCATTCAAAGCCTAACGACAACTTTGCGTAGCTTGCGAAGGACTGGGCTTACCACTCCTTCATCCTCTTCGAAGATGGGACCATTGCCGACGCGTGCCGCGATTTACTCGGGCTGTGGACTTCGCAAACACGGGTGAGTTGTGCCAAGACCAGCCACGTGCAGTCTGTTGCAAGCAGGGTGCCAGGGAAGCACTTTCTCAGGATATCACAGCCGACCTTTTCGACACCTCGGTGCCACAACTTTGGTTTCCAGCCGACTCAACGCGCTATGACCGAAGCAGCCCGACGGGGGTTTCAGACAGGGATCCGTGGAGGAGTCCAGAGCCTGTGGGACACACAGTTCAGGATTGAGCATGCCAGCACAAGCGCTGGTGCCAATACTATGTTAATATATGTTAATTAATCATTGCTTCGGCCCTGATGCCTGCATTGGGGTTCGAGAACTTGCCTGCCAGTTTCGGATTCTCTTCAGCTGTTAAGGCAGCCATCGAGCCGAGGAAGCTCGCTTTGCAAGGCAGCGGGCTGTGGCGGCGTGCTGTAAGTCCAGCGTGTCTTTGGATCTGGTTTGCAATGTGCAATATGTTTGGAAACTCTCGGCAACAATCTGGCAAGAGTGATTATGCCAGCCATATGCTGAGCTGGTTGCTTTCCCTCATGTTGGCTGGCCTTGAATGTTGGATGCCAGCTCTTCGAGGCATGGGCAATGATGACAATGCAAACTAAGCTTCCGTACAGTGCAGTGCAGGGAGCACAGTTGGCCAGGCAGGTCCTCGTTGGTTTGGACAACTGGCGGCAGGCCGTTCAAGATCATCGTGACAAGAGCTGCTCGTTTGCAGGGTTGCCTAGGTGTCTGAGATGTCTGAGCCTCGAGGCACTTGGCATGAGGGATACCGTGGGCGCAGGCCCATACATATTTTCCGAGCTGCACTGTGACGGGGTCACACGTCCGGGCAGAATTTTCTAAGGAATTGATATTGCTTGATAGGCGGCAATGCCAGTCTTACCCAAGCCTTTTAGGCCAAAATTGCACCATGAGCTGCTAATAGATTCGAATGTCGAGCGTGTTTGCATGCGCTTTGGCTTGGGTTGTGCCAGCTTCTGGAGTGTGGTGTATGCCATGCCTAGCCCCGAGGGACTCATGATAGTGCGGAACTGCAGAATTTCTGCACGGGTTTTGGCTTTGCTTCATGTATTGTGAACCCCGAAAAATGACAGCCACAAAGCTGACGCCACGTGAGCCGAAGCTAAGGTCACAAGGAGAAGTCTACAGGGCGCCAGGCGTACGACTGGTTTGATGCCGAGATGAAGGGAGGCTTCGATGTTCCTTGGCTGCCGTGCTTGCAAAGTTTCAGATATGTTTCTTGGGTTGAGGAGTTGAGTTGACGATTGGAGTGGGGAGTTCGCCGGGGAATGATGGATCAGCTCGTCTTTCAGATTTTTTTAGAACACCTCGTTGTCAGCCTGACTGTTAAGCTGCTGCTGTGCGTGTGGCATGCTCTGTACTTATGTAGCTTGTGCACGCTGCAGGTCCGCAATGGCCAGAAGGGCCAGGCAAGGGACTTAGCTGTCGAGACAGGATGACTAGATAAAGAGTGCCTTGCCGGGTTAAGCCAAGGATCTTTGCTTTGTCATGCCTTGTTTGCATGCCACCCTAGAGAGAAGACCATTGCCAACTGTCACATCATGGACTTCCTGTGGGGAATCTTGAATTTGCGTCATATCTTCAACAGCAAGAGTGGGCTTTCATAAATCCAGTGCAAATCCGCAGGCAAAGTCGGTGGCTCCATGCCCCAAGATCTGCAAGAGGCCTCATTACAACCTTGAGATCAGGTGCTCCGCTACGGCAAGACGCTGCCACTGCCAAGCCCAGCTCGCGTTGTGTCGGTCGGCTCACGCCGTGTGTACTTCCGGCGGCTGACGGACCCAAAGGAGCACGGGCGGGCTCTAGGCCCAGATGTGTAGAGGGCCAAATCGGCTCGGTTCAGCGATTCAAGCTCTTGGTGTGGAAGACTTAGCAACTGAGTATGGAGTGACTGTCAGTTGTCAGTACGAAGAGCCTTCTGGGATTATCAGCTGTGGCTGCAGCTGTACTTTGGGGCTCTCTGAAGCGTGTGGATTGTGTGTCACGCCTCGGTCTTCAAACAGTTCGAATGCTTCAGCGCGGTTGGATGCGAAGTTTTCCAGATCATTAAGTTCCCAGAGCCTAAGCTCCCAACCGCCAGGAGCTGGATGTCTCGCTGGTGGAAGGCCAACCGGGTTCAGTTTGCTGTGTAGTCATGTGCGTCCTTTGGATTCTTTGAGGAAAACATTGTGATTTGCCTTCTGATACATTCTATGAAGCTCCACAAGTCTTCAGTCCCTGCCGGCCTAGGGCTCTTCGAGCCTGGAGAGCTCCAGGAGACCTGCTGACATGGTGCACTCCAAAGGGCAGTAAACGGGCAGCATGCAGCACTACGCTCATGTTATGTGGAATGTAGTAAAAGGCCCGCGTCTTCCCAGCGATGCGGGCTTTATTTCTGGCTTCCTACAAAGCACATGCTTTTGCAGGACTAGATGCGAACGCTTGCATCCAAGCCTTCACTGTCACGAGGAAAACTGAAGCCTAACTGGCCTAACTCTGTCAGGAGCTCCTGGCTTTCTGCGAGCAACGGCAGGGCTTCACGGCTAGCCTCCAGAAGGACACATGGTGTTTGAGTGTTGGCCTATGGGATTCGCCAAATTATTGCTTGGGAGCCCAGCATCTGCAGAAAAGTCAAGCATTCGTGCCTGCGGGACTTTGGAAGCAAGTAGTAGCCTGTCTGAGCGCGCAGCCATTTTGCAATGGTGGCTTTATGGAACAGATGGGACACTTAGTGCTCAGCAGGTCTGTCGCTCGGATATCTGTACATAGTTGCCACAGACTTGTCTACAAGCTTTCAGAACATGCAGTCCTTGCTGAAACAAACATTTTGGATCCCTCATACCAGCAGAACTGGCACAAACTAAGCCCGAACATGTCGTGGAAGGTGTCGACCTTCCCCGACTCCTCCTCTCTTGGAAACTCTTTGTCAGTGCCGAAATCCCGCACGACAGATGGCGATATGGTGTGTAGAGAAAGCCTCAGCGTGGCAAAAGAAAAGCTGAAGTTTCGCAGTGTAGGACAAGCAGGGGCATGTCGGGGACTCGGCCTGCTATTGCTTCAGCCTTGCAATCCAGGAAGTTCAGGATGTTGTACTTGTCGGGCGTCAGGATACTCATGCGACCTTGAGGTCGATGTCATGTTCCAGGATTTCAGCACAATGCATTGGCCAGCAAAGTCAGCGTACAGGGGAAGATCCATTCCCAAGCGATGCATAGAGCTAAAAAGGTATGTGACCGACAGCTAGATCTGATCATGCTAGGGTCACACTTGCAGAAAATAGCTCGATACCGGTGCAGAGAAGCTTGTGGCCAGGTTGTGCAAGATGGCCGCCGGACATCAGAGTCATGCGCAATGCTGTGGCCAATGCTCTACGACGTGAGCCCTGACACGGAAGCAACTGGGCAGACAATTTCTGGTGCATCGAGGTTTGGACTGCAGAATCCAAAAGGGCCAGAGTTCCGGCTACGAATATGTTCAGAAGTGCTTCCAAAATGGCTGCGCCGCTGGGAAATCAGTGCCATATTGCGATTCAGAGAATGAAGTCGGACAGCTTGGCCCAGGAGTTCCACGCTTAACCAGACGTTTGCTGTCAACAAGCGCCAGGCCAACCTGTCCTAGAATATTCTGACCCTACCCCCCATCATATGGATCATTGTAGCCCAAACCATTAGAAGTCTGACCCAGCAGAGGCAGAGCTAGCTGCGGCAAGTACAGCTTCACGGCGCTGTGCCGAAGCATTGGGCGTGGAGGCACCCAATGGGAAGGTGAGGGGCAAATTGGCGAATAGCTGCAGTGACTAACTAGAGTACTGCATAGACTTTCTAGCTGTTTCTTACCGGCACTAGAATACTGTTGTGTCAGCTTGGCAGATCCATGCATGATTTATGGTGTAGGATGTGTGGGGCAGGGTTTGAGAGTGTTGAGGATTGAGTCGTCTTTCCAAGGTATGCGTTGCAGGTCTGAAGTTTGGGGCACTTTGTGACTGCCACGATTGATACCTGGTATGCAAATGACAGGCCTGGACGAGGCACTTGCTTGGATGGGAGACACTGGCGTTCACCAGCCCCTCATGCGAGAGCATCTAATCCATGAAGAAGCTAGAGACATGTTTGCGCCCTTGCGGTTGGGCCGGAAGCCACATCCTTGCATTTTCAGGTGTCCATGCATCAGACCCGTCACAACGCTGCAAACCTGAAAAGTGCCTTGGAGTCAGCTAGTCACTAGTCTTTGCACTGCTCAACACGACGACCTGTGGCTCAAGTTGCGTCATACTTGTCAGAGAGGTATTGTACATAATTTGTTTACTGGAAAGGATTTTTAAGCCCCATCTGAGATTCATCCTCTAGATGCAGCATGGGGGCACACAATTTTTGCCATCAGACTGTGAGACCCAACCCCAGGCGAACAATCTGAAGACATGATCTAAGATCCTTGACACTATGCAGAAATGAGGAAGATTCAGCAATGCCCAGCAATGCTCTGTTGATAAAGTCCATTCTGGCAACTCTTGGTCTTCAGCAAGCCTGTTTGTCTCAATGGAGCTGGGGGTTCCTCGGCCAGCTGGTTGCTTGCCAATGGCGAGGTGGCAGGCAGGGCCATGTGCTGCCTCTGCAAGGGCCATCTTCACTTTCCAGGATGTGAAACGGTCTGCAATTCTCAACGAAGCCTGCAGATCAAATTTGACCCGTCTGGGTGGCTGCAGAGGCAAGGTTTCCACAATTGTGCAGCACCAGCTGTCCTCGTAGACCAGCTGGAGCCGAGCAACGGCCTCAACCAGCTGACTTTGGGTTTCAGGAACCCTTGAGATGAGCTCGATAATGCAGTCCGGAAATCAAGATCAGAAAGGGCATCCTGCTAGTGCTGAAGATCGCTCTGCTGTTTGTATCTGCAATGGTCTTTGTCAAGCTGTCCTGAAGCTCTTTACATTGCTGGCTGCATAGTTGCTGAGGTATGCTTTCAGGAACGTAGGCCTGGTGCCAAGGGGACGAGGCCGAGTTGCTCGTTGGGATTCGTGTTCAAGAGCGCGCTATGGTTTGGAGTTTTGAGTGTTGCAGAGGTCTGAACTTTCCACACTGGCCTTGATGGTATGTGCTAAGGGCAACGGGATTCAAATGACAACACGCAGTAGCATGCTGTTCTTGGGACTGCTCATGACAACTTTGTGCAAGCTAGCCAAGCTAATTTGTATGAGAGCGGTGTACGTTTGTCAGCAAAAGTGGCGTCTTCATGCTGTCATTTTGGGGCGAGGCTTCCCCAGAGCAATGCGTTGAGGGCATCCCAACTTGATGCAGGTTGTGGGCGCGGGCGGGAGTACAAGACTGGCGTGGGAAAGCTCGTCAGGCTGCCGAAATCCCGACGGATAACTAGAGTACCAAAATGTCAACTTGCTTAGATCATGCCATAGCAGGTGCAATTGAAGAATCTCAAATCCGCCGAAGTCCATAAGTTTGTTGGTGTCCTGCTCCGCTGGTTGAATGTGAGCTGACAAGGATAAGACAAAGTTGCTTTGTAGCATAAACAATTTACAGAGGCGTGGCCTGGGGTGGAACCAGACCGACGCTGCAGCTTCAGTGCTTGCAGCTCGGCAGCGTTTGGCAAACTGCCAGTGATGGTGGTTGGGGGCTGCTGCGCGGTAGTCGTTGTGAGGTCGTTCTGGCATGTTGTGGTGGTCGTGATGGTGTTTCGTTGTTGGAAGAATGCGTTCCACGTCGGCCTGTGTATGCATCTGTGTCAGCACCAAGGCCAGATGTCCCTTAACCAAGCTGGTAAAGTCAGGGGTACCGGGGGGAAGATGAATCGTGCAAGTCCCATACTCTTGAACAATTCCGATGGCCACTGCCAGCAGTATGGCTAGAGCGTCATTGCAAGATGAAGGTGAATAGGCGCAGCTTTGTTCCCTTTTCCAGGTACGTGTGCACCAATTTTGCAGGCCGCTTCTTGGAGGGAAAGCCAGCACGCTTCCGCGAAACCCTGAACACTTTTGAACACTTTTCAAAGGACCGCATGCGTGCTTAAGGTGACAGGCACCGCCATCGGAGGAGGCTTCCTGGCCTTGCCCTACACTTCGGCACCCTCGGGCTTTGCGCCATCCTGAGTTTTCCTCAGCACGCAGTCTCCCTTCCAGCCTGTATAGTCTATTGATCTGAGCTTGATTCTTGAAATTCTCTTCTTGGTACCACCATCTCTGCTCAACATTCTGGTGCAAGACATCCACTAGCTTCAGACATGCTGCGTTGATTGGTTGGCACCGAAAACGGTGATGAGAGAATATTGCCTCATAATCAGGTATGGAGAGCCAGAGACAAAACATGCACACTGCAACCTCCATCTGCCCCCGAGCACCAGCAGAAGCATCACTGCCACCTGTGCTGGAAAAACTCCTTCGTACGGAAGGTTCCATCTGCTGCTGTGATGCTGGTCTCCTGGGCCTTGCTCTTGTTCCAGGCAGTGCCACGTGGGTGGGCAAGCGCGCACATTGCCATTGCAGAACCAGTTGAGAATGTGTTGGCATGGGCAGATACCACCAGCAGAATGAACCTAAAATCTGCGCTTGTCCATGCACAGGATAGTTCTCTTACACCGCCTCCAAAGTGTAGTGGGAGCTCAGTTAGCTTCTTGTATCACAACTGCATTAAATGCTTTCGCTTTTGACAGCCTTCAGACATTTGCTCATGCACTTTCAGGCTTCACTATCACTGCAGACTTCACGTACCCTACATCACACTGAAGTTTGGGGTCCCTCGTGCATTTCGCCCCCACCTTCTGTTCTCTGCTCGCATTGCCAGGCCCACGTTGTGACGGATCTAATCGTGGCGGAGTCGCAGCGCGCTGGCAGAGTGGCCGCTCTGAAAAAACAGAAGCGGAGCAAGAATAACAGCAGCATTGTAATCGAAGTGAAGTCATGGTATTGCTGGCTGGGTAATCTGGGTATTGTACTCGGCAGAGGAACAGGCATGGGAGGTCTAGAGCCAGCAAGTATACAGCGCTGGATTATCTATGGGTCTACGAGGACACAGAATTTCCTTGAAATGCCTGGGCTGACTTTCTTCCGACACCCTTATGCTCCACCCCGGATGCAGAAGCTGTCAACTTTTTCAGCATCAAACCTTCATCCTCAAAGCCGAATCCGACAACCTGGAACCCATCAGCCCTCAACCTTCAAATGATGTCCTCGACGTGGAGGTGAGTTTCGCAACCGTGGCGGAACAGCGACTGGGCATCGGAGGACCCTCGAGAAAAGCGCTAGAACATGCCAGAACCAGATTCATACAAGAAACTGCAATCACGCGCTCTAAACGTTGTAGGAGGAATGTAAAAATGAGAGCAGCCAAGGTCTTTCAAGTTTCATCTCAGGGTATCAAGAGAATGGACGCTGGGCGCAGGCATTTGGACGTTGATGGCCTGTTTTTTTATTGGTAGGCTGTATGGTCGGTAGCATCATTGCTCTTGCTGTGGGCGCCGACGTACATTCATGCTTAATTCCTTGTCTGCTCAGAGAGCCGTAAACGTGTTCGCAACAGAAAGCTCGAGATGGGCTGGCATTTTCAGAGTGCAGAGATTGTTGTCCTTCCGAGCCGGAGGACGAACCCTGGTATCCTGTCTCTTCCTGCTCCCTGGCTGCATCTCTATAGCCAGGACCCCATGCTAATATAATAACATGATACTTTCGCCTGCCTTGCCCGAAATCCTTGAAATATCCCAGATCCGTCAACCTTTTCACCTAGCTCGTTGAAGCCGTCGCAAGTCAGTAGCCCTCCGGTGCACAACCTGCAACTTGGCCCAGCCGCATTTGCAACAGCAACGCATTCCTAATGAGCCTGTGTCCAATAATTGTTCTTTGCGAGCAGAGTTGAGAGCTCAAGGATCCTGATGATGGCCACGCTGGTCTCGCAGTTTGCGCAGCTTGCCTGGCCAAAATCTTAAATCCCAGTGCCCTCTGAGACTTGAGTTGGAAAGCGCTAAGCTTTTGACGGGTCCATGAACCGGGGGAACTGAGGAAAGCTGGGTCCTTACTGGCTGCGCTGACTGGGCTACCGGAAGCTCCACTCAGCGCCTGGGCTGCATCCACTTGCATTGAGCTAGAAACGGAGGTTGCACCAAAGAAACAGGTTTGTCTTGAGGTTTGATTTGAATCTCCCTGAGGACAATGCTTCATCGGTCCAAGCCACGGTTGTGGTACCGACGTTGTCGTTGCTATAGCTAGGTCAGTGTCATATTGCACCCCCCTGTCTGACTCATCCTCGGGCTGTCCTCTCCAACTTGTAAGCAGCACCGCCGACGTCCGTAACTACGCATGGTGGAACTTCATGACTGGCAGGCGCCGCTTTGGCTGCAGCATTGTCAGCTCTGACATGGAGAAGCTCCTCCAGCACTACTGCAACGGTGAATGGCTGGCTCACGCTACCCAGCGCCAAAAAGGGGCTAAGTGACACGTGCAGCAAGTAGACCACGTTTGTCAGGCGTGCTGCGTGGCTGCACGTGCGGCTGCATAACGGCCTTGCCAAGGTTTCCTCCCTGCAGCCCCAAACCACTTCAAAGCAGCTGTCTGGTCTTGTGCCATACCTTACACAACTATACAACAAGCATACATTCTAGTTTGCACCAACTTCCCGAGCCTCTGCATCTTGAAGCCCATGCAAGAAACTCCACACACACACACAAGCCTTCCTCTTGCCTCGTTTGCTGCAAACCCTCTGTCAAGGCTAGGCTTTGTCATCGCTTGTGCTTTCTTATTCGCAAGCGGCCTCCC